GGGGGGGGGTTATTTATAGTTTTAGAGAAGGCTAATTTTGTAAATTGAAAAAAGGTTAAATTTTTTTTAAAAAAAGAGAGGCTATTTATGCAATTCTCCCGTTGGCCAATGGATCAATTCCAGGTCTGACCGTTGCCAACGGTCAGTGGGCCCTACATAATTCGAAAAATTAAAAAAAAACAAAAAAAAATTATAGCCGTTGTACCGGGCCGGTTAAACCGGTAAGCGTTACTGTTCACGTGGACCGGGTTTGACCGATCCGGTTAACCGTTTAAAAAAACTAAACGGACCGACCCCCTCTACCCCTCCTACCCAGCCCCACCCGGCCCCTTTGTACCGGGTCGGTCCGGTTTCGGTTTTTCCCGGTCTGGGCCGGTACGGTTACGGGTCAACCCGGCCCGTTTAACACCCTTAACTTAAGGTCGTTCGCTAACAATAATGCTGAATAAGGTGTATTAGTAATGGAGGAATTTGTTATGCACAGATTATTTTTTATCCACTGTTTGGTGATGTATTAAAATTAAAATACATTGCATAATTTTTAAGAAGGCAAAATGGCCTCCGAGCCACTTAAACTTGTGCCCGTTTGTCAACCCAGTAAATGAACTTACAAGTTTTTCATTTAAACATTTGTACTTGACAGAATGTATACTAATAAACACATTTGATCATTGACTATGCTTATGTGGCAACGACTTAGCTTCGCCATAGTCGAATGACGGCTTCAGAGTTGATAGCCTCATGCTTAACTTCGCCGTTAGTCGAGTATGGGCTTGTTATGGGCTGACAACTTACTTTGCCCATTGGGATCTTGAGCATAAGTCCTGGTCCGATCCCGTCCCAGGTACAAAAATAAGGAAAACATAAGTTATACTCCGTACATACGGGAACAAAAATAAGGGAGACAGAAGTTATCCGTACATACGGGTAAGACAAGCTTGTTATTTCAAAGAGTCACACAATAGGATATCGTCCCATCCTAAGAGAAAGGGCAATGTGCATGAAGTATAGATCGGAATCTAACGTTAATATAGCAAATAGGATTACGGACGTGCTCAGTGCGTAGTGGTCATAATCCCACTTTGACAACTCATACTCACGACATGCCGTGAATTTTGTACAGATATCAGACATAATTGTGATTTCATGCAAAGATCTGACCTTGGTTGGTTCGGTTATTTCAAAAGCTTGCCTACGAATTTCTCAAGTTGGTATTCGCAATGAGAGGGCGTGGCTACGACAACCGGGAAGTGGAACTCTGGCTGACTTTAGATCTAGAGGAAACTAAATCTTTGGCTAGAAAATTCCCACAGACGGTGCCAAATTGTTCAACCAAAAAGTGTTAAATCTTTTTATGAACTAATCAAATAGGAAGATTTGAGGTAATCCTAGCCAAAGATAATTCATCCAAGATTTGAGATAGTAGATAAGAATGAACAAGCATAGCTGAACATGAAATTTAACCATAGCAATAATTGAATCCCATAATGTAAGAAAAAGGTGGTGATTTTCATAACACTAAATGATAATGAAGAACACATAGATAAAAAGGGTCACCGTTCTTGAACAAGGTTGATCCCCATACATTTGACATAATGAAATTAATGATGCATACTGAGGATCTGAGCTTCCTTTCCCTTTCCCCTTCGCCAGAAGAAAAAGTTGAAGATCGTTCTTCCTCACTGGAAAAGTCTATGTGTGTGAGAGTTTTTCTCTGCCCTCGACCCCCCCCCCCCCCTTTTTCTTCATTCTCTCACCTAATATATATACTAAGTATTCTCATTTACACAACGGTCATTAGCCAGAGTGCCTAAGTGATTTAACTGAATTACAGATTGATCCTCTAAAATGCCGTGACATCCAATTCACCGTACAAAAGCCTTTTGAGTACACGACCTCGGCCGTGGCCGAGGTGCTTGTCGCTATAGCGTTGTACGAATCGACTTCGACCTAAGTGACTTGCCATCCCTCCTTAACGCAGATTCTTGTTTGGTCAGATTTCGACCCATACAATAATATCAAATAGGTTGTATAACTAATAACTTGCATTAGTAATACATAACCTGAAAAAGTGTATCAAACAAGAGATAAGTAATACTATAAAGTAAATGTATGCATTATTTTTTCGGCCCTTAGTGTGTGACCTCTGTATGAGGCGTGAATTTGAATTAATTGTCTGCTGTTAGGCTACCGGTGAAACATGAGGCCAGCACCCAATTCAACAAAGTTAACATGAGTTTGACCATCAGGATCAGCTATCATTAAAAGAAATAGTACTCTTTATGTATACCAATATTTTATACTAAAATGAAATTAAATGGGAATGTATATTAGTCGATCATCGTTTAGTCACAAAAGTTCAAGTGCGCGCACACACACACGTCATGCATTTATAATTAGATATTACAATATATAAAATATCAAGTGCAAATAAACTTTTCCACTATAATCGCTTATAATTTGACAAGAAAAAAATTGCTTTGGCAGCAGAAAATATCAGCAAGAAATTATGTCATGACCTGTGTTTGCTCCTGTGTGTGAAAATGAAAGGAAACTGACTATGAGGGAGAGTGTACAGTGATCGTGAGTGTACGTGAGATGATGTACTAGTAGTAAAAAACCAAAGTGTAAACTGTGCAAGTGAGATGCTCCGAAAATGATGAGTTGGTAACAAAAGATAAGAAGGAATCTTTTGCAAGGTGGCAATTTCCCCTTGGTGTTTTGTTTGTTTTTCAAATTTTGTTCCTTTTCTTTTTAAGAGCTAAGTACAAATATAAAATTTATTAACTAACTAAATAAAACTATTTTTGATAATTTCAATTTAATCCAAAGTAAGATTAAAAGAGTTAAAATATCAAAATTTACAGCTAAGATAAACATCTAAATACTAAAATAATGTAAAAATCGGAAACATTAATCCCTCAATAATCTAGTTTCTGTAGAATAACCGTATAAATTGCAAAATATCCAAAAATAACTTAAAACTCAAGAAAAGATTAGCTTCTCTCAGGCTGACAAGTTTTCCCCAAATATTGCAAACCCGAACAGCATGAAGTAAAGTTAGTAGAAGTAATTAATGAGGAGATGGAAATAGATGATAAGCTTATCTTTGTTAAACAAGAAAATTAAGCTAATGTTTGGACATAAATTTGATTGAAACTTGAAAAAATGAGTTATTGAAGATGTGATGGAAAATGATTATTAAAAGTTGAAATTGTGTTTGGACATTCATTTTACTTGACAAGAATTTGAAATTTTGTGAGTAGAAAACTTCAAAAACTATTCTAGAGTTGTTTTCAAAATCTGCCAAAAAAATATTTAAAATATATAAACAAATATATATTTGAAAATAAAATTTGGATAAAAACTCTTAAATGTTATGGTCAGACAAGAGCTAAAAAAGTAATTTTAAACA